TTGTTTAGCTTCCCAAATCAAGAGCCCAACAACGAAACACGAACGGAATCACTTGGTGCTTCACACATCGCCAAGGCTCGTTGTCATTGGCCTGGTGCTGGATGGCCAAATTCAGGCACACCGCATAGGTGAGATCCACATTCAACTGATCCAGCAGGTTTTGCTGTTCCTCGGGTGGCCACGCGACCCGCACCACAGATCCAGAAATCGTTCTATGAATGCCACAGGAACATGAGTGAACCATCGCAGTGTATATTTCCCTATTGGTCCACATACCTTCTGAGAAGGTGATTGGAGACTATTTATGTAGGCTTGGAGGGTCCAATTATCTTCTGAGAAGGTATGTGGATCCATAGGGTTTAATTGGGGTTTAGGTGTGGTTCAGTCATCCAAACTCAGCGAACAACAATACCTCCCGGAACGTGACAATTTTCCACCGCAATTAATTATATACCAAGGAATGATTCTCGATTCCGATTCCTATCTCCTGACGGGAAAGCGGGAACGGGGGTTGTTATGGGTTGGTATCTAGGCATTTGGCACCTAAAAAACACGTGCATCATCAAGGCCAGGAATTGAACAGGCTAAGCTGGTCCAGACTGTGAAAACAGGGTCTACATGGGTCTACCCACCTCTAGGATCAAACAATTGTTGGAGAGGGGGTGATGTGCAGCTTCACTCAGAAAAAAGAACCTCAGCCATCAGCGGGACACGCACCCCCGGCAAACAAGGCTCCCGCAGTCTGCACAATTGTCTCTCCTGCAGGGCCAATTCTTGCAGTCAGTATAATTCAGCTGCTTCTGACTATTGCAGTATCTACCAGGTCCCTCCTGGCGACCTGTTCCCACGGTCCCACGTTCTGTGTTCTGTGACCCTTGGTGTTCACTTCCGAGTATTGTTACATTCATGAGGCCGTGAAAAACCGTCACCCAGTGGTTTTGAGAGTGAGTTCATGATAGTCCATGTTAGTCTGCAGGAATATGACCTATTTACCTTTCTGAATTCCATTTCCCATCACCCCACTCGCTCGTGGCTCTCCGCCTCGCAAGCGTGACCGCACGCGGAAGAAGGCTCCTTCTTTCCGGCCTCCTTGCCTTTCTCCAAGGCCTCCCTCAGGTTGCCGTGCTCTCGTGTGATGGCACTTTCCTCCACCAGCCGATGGATCTCCTACAATGATAGGTCCGCGAAGCTCGGAACCCGGTGGAACCGCGGTGGGTTTCAACCCCCCGCGTGGAACGGGTCCAGTTCCGCGGTGAAACCGTGCTTCCTGGAGCTCAGCGGACCAGGAAATGGGTTCATCGAAAGGTCCGGAGTTAGGACCATGAAGATGATCTGTTTCTATCGCGCCCGCTGATCAGTCACATATCCTGGGGCGCCCAGGTCACATCAGCAAATACATGAACGTGACCTGTTCATAAAAGACACAGCCAGGCAAGTGACCAATTGGCAATCCCCAAAGGAAAGCCACTGTGTTTTAGGTGAACACGTGCGAATCGACAGAACCGGCACGCAAAAAACATCACAGGCTTAGAGTTACGGGGTTTGGTTGTTTTCATTTATGGGTGCAGGAAAAGCAAGAAAGTCCATGAACAACTATTAAGAACTATTGATGTACAATGTATACTATATATAAATTATGTGTTCCAAAGTGTCCATGTTGCCCCTAAACACACACGCGCAACCACAACACACCCACACACACACACACACACACACTCCAAAAACGCTTCAGGTCAACCTCCCATCGTAACCGCTTCCATCTCCCGAAGCTTTTTGGTCCTTCTCCATCTCCCGAAGCTTTTCCTCGGGCGACAGCTCCGTCTTCTTCTCCAAGGGCTTGGCAGCGCCTGGACATGGATTAGGGATTGGCATATCAGGGTCCCTACCAGCACTGAAATTAAGATGGTGGCTGAAATGGAGGGCCCTAATTTGTGTACATTTGGGGGAGCCAATTGAGAACTGGACCTGTAGGCGATGCAAGTCTGTTCGCCTGACACTCGACGTCCTCGTGCACCGACGCCGCGCGGCGAACCCACCGCCCGCCGCCGAACCCGCGTCGGAGCGGGAGAAGGGTGTTTCGGACCGGTGCCAAGGTGCCAAGGTGTTGGTTCGGCAGCCTGAAACCATCTGAAACCTGGTGGCCACCGAGCACCCATCTACCATCCACCCACCGAAGGCGTCGCGACAGGACGACGAAGGGGCGACCGCGACCGGTGCGGCTCCAGCCTTTATCTCCTTGGTTCAAAGGATCGAAGACCTGTGGGATCGAAGGCGACAAGAAATCACCACAATTTTGCTAAACAAGAAACAGGATCCAAAAAATCCATGACAATCCATGATTCACAACACAATGCACAAAGGTAATTAATAAACATTGATCAACACATATCAAAACTGTTTCAAACATAAGCCTGTTCCATTTGGAGTTGCATCATCAAACTGAAAGAAATAGGAACCACGACAACTACGGTGCAAAACCACGGTTGGAAACCACTTAGAAACTCTTGAATGCTATGAGAATCAATGAATCTTTAGAAAAACCACCTTCAAGTCTTCCAACAATCTCAACTCCCAATCTTAACCTCCAACCTGTACCGCACCACCTCTATAAACATATACGGTTGCATCATCTATGCATCCCACATAGTGCGGCATGTTGGCGAGTTCCGGGCCTTGTTGGGTCCGCCCTTCCCAGCTGCGGTGTAGCCCGCCGCGCGGTTCGACGTCATGGGCCGCGCGGTCTCGGTGCTCCGGGCGCCCAGGACGCCGCTCGCCAGGCCCCCCCGCGCCCCGCGAGGGCGGCAGCGCCGAGGCGCGGCCGGCGCCCTGGGCCGTGCGCTGCCTGGGCCGGTCGCGGTGGCGGGGTGGGGAGTGAGACGAGCAGTTGGAAACCTCTATTCTAGACCCTTGAGGATGACTACGTAAGTTGAAACGAACAATCACCAACGAGAAAATACATGCACAAAACATGTATATATATAAATAATACATAATATATATATATATAATATATCTAATATGATTATAATTGTATATATATATGATATATACAGTATATAGGATGGACACACCAACTTGTTGGTCACAACTCAGTTCAGCACCGGAAGCAACTTGAGATGTTCTTGTTTCTTTCACACGGATGGGGCGGCCTCTGAACGGACTGTGGGGCTGGGACCCCTGCAAAACCCCAATTTGGCTGGGACAGTGCTGCAAAAAGAACACATGGAACCAAATCTCGAATGAACTTTGAAAGTTTGATAAACAATGAAAAACCAACTACACGGTCCATCTGGGAGTGATGAGATGGGCAAGTTGACACGTCACTTCTCGCAGATCAGTTTGACCTGCGAGCTGCTCATTCATGACCTGGAGTGCATGTGAAAATGACCGCACTAAATCGAGCATCGGAACAACAAAACATCAGCATAAGAAGTCCGCCAAAGGAACACCAAAATCAAAGAAAAAAACACAACAATTGAGCTTTTCTGCTCCAAACCTTCCTGGCTTGTGAACTGGAGGAGCCCCGCTAAGAGTAGACAAAGGATCTTCCAGCAACTCAACCTCATCCAGCCACATGTTCCAGCTTTGTCTCATAGAGCTGCGCAATTCACACCATCCCGGATCCATATTAAGTGAATGGGCGCCCCTCCTCTCACAGCTGAGGCACATGTAGGCACTCGGAGGCGGGTGTTGAAGGACATGATTGAAGTCCTGAGCGGGGCATGTTGTCCCTGTGAACTTTCTCGACTGCTCAGGAAGCACCCGCCATTTCTGGTGAGCTCGGGAGTACTAGCGGGGCTAAAGCATCTATGCCGGTGCACAGCACTGCCCAAACCGTACGGCCCAACGACCGTACGGGTGATCCTTCGTTCCTTCGCGGGGTGGCCATACCGAAAGATCCGTGGTGCCCTTCCGCCCTAACGTCGATCCTGAGGTCTCAGGGAAACAGGGCCATTCGCCCGCCCCACATGTCACCCCCCCTCATGTCACCCAAAACTTCTGCGACATGGGACATGGGACAGTGTTTGAGGACTTGGCAAGCTGGACGAATTGAGATGCATTTGGACATCCATGGTTGGTCATAGAGGGTTGAAGAACAACCAGGGAGGGGAGCTACACTGTTCTATGATGTTGGAGCCTGGCTTTAGTGGCCAGCTCTCTGATCATCAACAAAGAGCTTGCAGCCAAGAAGCATATTGCGAATCATTTGGAGGAATGCCATCGACCTGTTGTCAGTCTTGCGCGTTTCACATTCCACGGGAAAACTATTCTGCAAAGCAGATGATGAAAGCATTAGACACATTCCCAGGATCTTGTTGAGAACGTCCAGCTGGGCCAATCAAAGGTTTGATGAAAAAACTCATATGAGAACACTAAGAATCTCAGGAACTGTCCTACAAAACATGTTCTCACACCACAGTCAGCATTTTGGATCTCTGGAACTCTCCAACGCTGTCCAAGGCACGTGGTAGCTGTAGTCGTTGGCCATGAGCTCCTTCTGTAGCAATTGAGATGTCTCCGTGAATGACATCATGTGAAGGCCGCTGCCCCTTCTGATTTTGGAAGGAGCTCGAGCCAACTCGAATCTGCTGCAATAGAGTTCGGCATGCTTGTTGGCCCTAAGATCTACAGGGTTCTTGCCATGAAGAACAATCAAAGCTCAAAAACGAAGCCAGCATTCAAGAAATACTCACATCTCACTGCTGCTCGACAACTCAAAATCAACAATTCCACATAGATAATATTAATAATCAATCAAATACTATGTAATATTCTCAAAAGGAACAATATACACATCACCAGTATATGATGATCATATGTTATATACATTTCCAATAAGTTGCCCACTTAGGCATAACCATGCCATACCATGCCCAAGTGGCGACGGACAAATCAAACACAACTCAACATATTAGTTGGTCAAAACACTTGAAAACCCTGCAACACCCACCACCCCTCATTTGCACATGCAAGGTCTCTTCCCTTCGCTTCAGCCCTGCCTGGCTTCAGCACCTTCCGCACCTCCCGGAGCAATTCCCGCGGCTGGGCGGCCGAGCACAGCACGTGCTGCAGCACCGCCACATCGAAACGCCCCAGGGGCGCCGCGTCGCCCATGGCGCGGCAAAGGACGCCCGAGCGCGACGTCCAGCGCTGCAGCTCGTGACGAAGGGAAGGCCAGGCAAACCTCAGTTGGATGCGGCCAAGTGGCGCAACACATCGGCGATCTCTTGAGACAGTGAAGCAGTGAATGGGGAATGTGCGAAAATGGATGAACATGGGCTTATAACTTGGCTTAACATATAAGTGTGTGCAAGAATCTCATTGGGCTCAACCGCCACCACCTGTCAGCTGTTGACGGATCCGAGGAAGGGACTTCCATCTGGTCAAGAGGTGAATCAGTGTCTATCTGATCCACGACCCCTTGGACAAGCCCCATACGATCTCCAAGCCAAGAATATTGATTGAATCCTACGGGAGTATGGGACTTGAATTGAGGCCTTCTAATCATCAACAGTGCATCTTCAAATCTCTTCAGTTGAGGCCCGTACAATCTCATGACATCTCATGACCATCAATTGGTCAACTCTGGAATCGGATCTCCCCCCGAACCCCCCCGCCACCTCAGCCCGAACCCGGTGCGGCACCTGTGCCAGGCACCCGTCGAAAGCGCGTTGAATGTAGCGCACATCTCTTCCTTAAGTCGATCATGCCCATGACGACGACACCGTGGGAGGCCCCGTGGGAGGCCCCGTGGCCCGGGGGAGGTGTTCGGTCGGGACCGGAATGGTACAGTGACTACAGTGGTCGTCTGGGATTGTCTGCGAAACGGGAGATCAATGCAGCTGACGAAGAAGTGACCGAACATGAACATGACCATCGGTAGTGGGTGTCACAACCGCCCTGAAAGTGATCTCAACTCCATTCTCATCTTTGGAAGTTGGTGAGTCATCAGTGACTAGAACAGAAAGCAGGTCAACCAAAGGTACTACTTAGAGTCAAAGCACAAACTCCAAACCCTGATGCTATGGCAAGCCTTATCGATGATGATGATGATGAAGAAGAAGATGATGATGATCTCAATATGTTCCGCCCAGCCACCCATGCCAGCTCCAACATCAAGGATGCGCAAACTGCTTGGCCTGCTCCGAGAAAAAAACACCGATGCCCGCCGTTGCTCCCAACTGCTCTCCAAACAGCGGAAAAAGAACCAACTCGGTGATCTTGCAATATGGGCTTGTCATGCTTGCTAGACACATGCAGGATTCACCTGTCAGAGTCATTCAGCATTTGTATGCATTGGGTATGCATTGGGTATCATTGGGTTTTGGGGGTTCACATGGAATTCTAACCATGACTCTGACCATCATTCTCAATCCTGCAACCTCCGAGCCTGTTGACAAACCAGGCCGGCATCTCTTGAAACGTCAGTGCCCAAACTACCAGCGAACCCGTAACAAGTGCAATATTCTTCTCCATGGCCAAGTAATTATATAACATTAAATCCTTCTGAAACAAACGCAGTCAACACTTTTCAGTGTATATTGGGAGATATTCTGAATCTATTCTGCAAGAATGTCCTCTCCAAGTTGTTCCTCCTTCCATTCAACCTGATCTGCCCGTGACCAGGCTGACCAGGTGTGACCCGAGACAATCACAGCACAAAAGAATTCATAGGAATCTCTAATTATGCCTCAGGGCTTCCAAACTGCTTTAATTCTGCACCTGTGCCCCGGCTCTGGCAATGAACTCCCCAAGTACTTTGCAGACTGGTGAAGGATCCACCCGATACATTTCCCACCACTGGTCGCTCGACACACCGCAGCCGTGCGCGTGCGACACACCACGCCGGTCGTCCTTGGCTTCAGCTCCTGAAACGCATCGCCTTGGACGATCGGCGGCGGTGCCTTCGGTGGCTCAAAAAGGTGTAGGCTGTGGGAACACGTGTTTTCCATGATTGGGCAACACATTCATGATGAAGTGATGAACTCATTCTATACAGTTCAAAGATTACTGACTGGCAGGTCTGGCTCGGTGCTTGATTACTTGAGGGATCATCCAAGCAGGCTCCTGCCAAGTGGCTGTAAGCCTGCAGGACTTCAGGCTCGATTTCACAACCTGAAACGTGATGGACAACAGCAGCTCTGCCTTTGATAAAACTCGCTTTCACAGCGGCTCTGCGTTTCAAAACAGTTTCATGTCTGACCGCAGCCATGATATCAGGGCCTAGTTGCCCGGGTTCCACCATCACGAAAGGTGCCATTGTTGCTTCAAGGGGGGACTCCGAACGGGGAGCCACTATGTCGGTGTGCGCAGTCTACTGTTGACTAGCCTAATTGATCGGTTGCAGTATTGTGATCCATCACCAACCTGGGCTCAGAACTATCCAACAAAGAGCCATGGGCCATGAGTCCGTAAACAAATACAGTAATGATCAGTTGGCCTGCGATGCTCCAGCTTTCCTGAGATGGTCTCTGTCGGACTGCGAGTCTGCGAGTCAGTGAGACCAACAGGATGCAAAATATGATGACCATGCAAATACAAATTCACCGGCACTCAGGTGTTCAACATCTTGTCAACAGTTCGGCCAGCCGAAAACCTCTTCTACGGCGCTCAAACCGTAGAGCTTCGTGCGTCGCACTTGCTTTCGCAACATCTCATGTTGGAAATCGTCTTGCGCCACATGATATTTTTGACCAAGACTCTAAAGTAAGCAGCATCTCTCCACCATGTTTGACAAATGCGTGCCATCACGGGGAGCGTGGACAGTAGCTCAAATGTTCAGCAGGGTAGTTCCAGAATCTGGGGTCAGGGGTCAATCGACTATTCAGTTGAATAGTTGAGCGGGTCCAGGGTCTTCCGGGCAATCTTCAGGGTTTGGACAAACAATTTCCTTTCAGTTTATATAGCTGCTCTTGAGGATGAATAGCTGTTCTTGTACTTCCAAACCAGCATCTCAGCTAGACTGCGCAGCGCAAACGAATGGGTGGCTGACCGCTATTTACACACGCTCACAGTTAATCACATCTGCAGGACGGCAACCGAATCCGACGGCGAATCAATTTTAATTACATCTTTTACAAGCTATATCAACATCAACCGAATCAGATACTGGTGCCCGTGTGTGGAAGACCGCATGTGCTGAAAACACAGAAGGGTTCACTGAGGTGCCTGCAACTCTTTTTCGTAGGAAACGAACGAAAAGGAGAACAGCACAAATCAAACCGCCAAGAACGCCCAACAGTTGCACAACAGCTTGGAAACCCAAGGCCCACCACCTACCTGAGCAAACCAGACACAAATTTGTGCCTTACAACATGCTTTCTCTAAGTCCTGTCCGTTGCGATCTCTCTATCCGGTCTCGTCGCTCTCCTCGTGCTTGCGGAAGGTCACCGGCAAACCAAAGCTGTACCCCGCCTCCCCCCGCGCTGGCGCAAAGCTGCGGCCAAGGAGTCCCTGGCGAAGTCGCAAGGCGCTGCGGCGCAGGTTTTCAGTGATTCGAGGAAGGGCAAATCACGAGTCTTCCGTGTGAAGCCCGAGGAACACTTAGATTCTGTTGTTTTTCTTTTTTCAGACGTCTTTGAATGAACGTCCTTATCCTCCACGTGCCTTGTTGATGTTCCTTTCTGTGAACTGTTGATTGGATCATGTCATGGGACAAAAGTTTGGAGAAAACTAAAGGGCTCTACTAAAGGGTGAAACATTACTATATATATATATACTACGTAAATTCAAAGTTTCTTGTTTGCATTTCGAGATTTTTGTGTGGGATTTGTTGGGGCTAAGGATAGTTGGCGTGACTGAGCCTGAATGAAGCGGCACTTGTATTTGAAAAAAAATCATTTGGTATTAAGGCCAAAGGCTTTGTCTGTTTTAAACAATATAAATCAAATGGAAAAGTCAACAAACAATCAAAAAAAAAGAACACAAGTCGGAAAAAGAGTCAAAACACAAATCCAAAAAACAGTCAAAAGAAAAGTCAACATTTATTAAAACAACTCGAGCATGTTAAAAGAAAAAACACTTCAAAAAGTCAAAACAAGTCGACCACTCAACAAGTCATAACAGTCAACAAAAGTCGAACAAAAGTCAAACAAGGAAAAAAGTCAACATTAGAGAGAACAAAAGTAAAGAACATGTCGGATCTGTGCAAATTGACTGTTTTTGACTTGCGCTGAAACTGTCTGGTTTGACAGTGACTTCGACTTTGGGACTGACTTTTAAAAAACTGAACATTTGAAACAGGCTCCCTCCAATGAACGATTTTTATAACACTTGTACACATTCAGCAGGAAAGCAGTTGAAATTGCATCTGTGTTCCCCATTCCCAATATTTACACCCGTTGTCTAGTTCTCAGGAATCCTCATTCAATGCTAGTGGCCTCACTCATTGGTCAGGCTGCTCGTTACCTCAAGGCTATTGGGTAGATAGCAAAGCCAAAAACATGCGAGTGTGGGAAGTCGCCCCTGCAAAGTAGAAAATCAAGGACCTTGCATGCATGAAACAGGTAGCTATACCTCCAACCTGAAAAATTGCAAGCGGCAACTTTGGGGGTTGGGGTTCGTGGGTTGGCAGCAGCTGGAGCAGCAACAAGTAACTGTGGCGCATAGTCTGTAGACTGTAGAGCTTTTTGATATTCTCATGACTAAGGGAGAGGGCCCCCCCACCCCCCCTCAATGAAATAAGAAATTACTACAGCAATCAGATACCTCACCACATATATTGGGAATATCGATTGGCACCATCCTTAGGGTCCAATTGATTTTTATGAATATATGTTGTAAAAATTAATTGGGGGGTCCCCCAGGTACATGGTCATTTATTAATTGAGGGGGTGGTGTCTGTCAGAGATCTCACAAAATGAAAAAATATTCATAAATATTCCAGAGCAGCAGCGAACCGAGGGGCATCACATACCGCATACCTGCAGAAAACCAACATATTGAAAACATATTCAATTACTATATATTCAATTTTAATATTCCAACAGGTATGGGTAGTATACACCAGAATATTTAACTAAGGCCCCCCCATAATTAATCCAGGGTGAATGTACATGTGCATCCACTCCTCACTCAGTTTCAGACCCCCCCCCAAATTAATTAGGAAAACATATATTCCGGGGTGGGTTCTCCTGGCTTGCATGTAGGTCAGCTTGCATTCAATGAACTTCCTGGATTATCATCGTCATCCAACTCTGGATGATCATCCTTGATTTTCTATTTTGGTGCAGATTTGGAAAATTACTTGAAACAAATTAATTGGGTACCTCAGGGTGACCCCTGATTAATTTAGCTAGTGCAGCCAGTATGCGTATGCTTTTTGCAATGCAAAGCAGGCACAGCTCGTGCGACCTTCAGTTTCGACTTTGACAGTGCCGTGTTGCTGCATCAGTTTGCAACACACCTATTACTTTCTATCTTGCTCCTGAGACGATTGACATCGATTCAAAATTCACAACTTGATAAATTGTGTCAATATCCTTTCTGCGCTCATACGCTGCCTCTTCTTGGCCTAAGGTGGAAGGTTGCTCGACTGCAGTTGCAAGATGTCGTGACCCCAGTTTAGTGGAACCTGAGGCAACAACAACCTGGTTTAGCATTTCATGGCAACCTGCGGGGAACAGCACGGAGCCTCGGCAACCGCATATGTTCGATGTAGCAACTTGCAAGAACCTAGTAGCCTTCTTGCTACTAGTAGCGATGCAAGGAGCCCCTAGTAGCACCCTTGCTCTTAGTAGTAAGGCCAGGAGCCCCTAGTAGCTTCTTGTTCCTAATCACGGCACCGACCAGCACCCGTTTCAAGCTTCCACGGTCACAGCACCAACAGAATTCCGAACTTGTTGCGCAACCTGCTCAGGAACCTTGCGCGGTTCCTCCTCTGGAACCTCCTGCGGAACCTGGTCCGGTGCAACTGCAGAACCTCCTTGGACAGGCCAGGTGCGGCAGCGCAGTGTTGAGGACACTCGCCAGCGCAAGCTTCCCTCTTTCTCTCCTTCTTTTCTTCCTTCCTTCCAATAAAGAACATTCCTACACAAAGAAGTTACGGGTGAAGCCCTTCTTGCAGCTTGGATCAGTCTGCCCCTGACCATTTCCTCCAGAAAAAAGCCGAAAAATCGAACCAGGCTCACCCCGAATGACGTGGTTGTTTCAACGGGGCGCGGCGGACAACGCCACGCCCATCAGTGGAGCCTGGAGGTGGATCTGGTGCTGGCCGGTGAGCTCATCCAACTGCCAGGGAGCTCGGAACGTGGGAACGTGAGACTCGTGAGACAAAATGAGGAGAACAAATCAGCATGGATCTAGTTATAGTCAAGGTGAACATCCTGTCTATGTGTTCGGATTTCGCGACCAAAGTGGGGGTTGCAGTGTGAGACAATCATGGGTGCAAATGAACCTCAATTGGCAGAATAGGTGCCACTTCACGCACATGTTTTGGTCATCTCATGTAGGTTCCAAGCCGACCATTGGTGAAGCCGGTCTCTTGCCCCAGCTCAGCCCTTCACCCCAGTTCTCAGAACGCAATTGCTACTTCCATCTGAAGAATGATATCTACAACTCCTTACAGGATGGGCCTTACAAAGTCTTGCTGATGGAATTCAGACTCACACAGCTATTTGCATGCATTGACTTTGATGAAATATGGACAAGCATGGGCCACAGCCAAGCCAAAGCACTAGCCAAAGCCTATTTATTGATTTTCCTTGACGTGCATGCTGCTCAATCTATTTGTTCTATTTTCACTGTTGAATTATTGGGTGTCCAGTTTAGAAGACTAAGTTCTTGGAGCAGGAACCAATGAACGGAAGAGCAGCATCACTGAGACATTGTCGTCACTCCCACTATAATGTTGAGATCCTGAGGGTTGTATTACGATCTCCTGGTCTTCCACTCAGGGCTGGAGCAGTTGAGAGGAAGCGATGAATCTCAGGAACCACCCAAAGGGCCTATAGGGCCTATAGACTATAGACGCTGTGAGGAGAGATTCGAGGTTGCCGCAAAACCGACTCCCGAATCCTGATGCAAGGCACCTTTCAACACCACTGAGCAGCTCAGCACCTCTGATAGAAACCATCAGACCATCTTCCATCGAAACCACTTCCGACCGCCGACACCACGGGGCGACCGGTCCCGTCCACCTCTCGGCGGTGGCCGACGTGGAGATGCTGCGGGGGAAGCTGCTGAGACCTTGCTGTGCCTGGCGGAGCGAGGTCTCGGACGCTACGCACGGAGCGAGGTCTCGGGGCTCCTGGCATCGCTACGAACGGAGCATTCTTACTACTAGTAACAAGAAACTACCAGGGGCTCCTGGCCTTACTGCTAGTAACAAGCACGGAGCAGTTGGAACACATCATGTTCGAATGGTGACATTGAATCGTTGAATCCATGTTGGATCTCTTTATTCTCTTCATGGCATATTACAAGTGCATATAACATCCTACACATTTAGTATATGATAGTGTGTGTGTTACGTCTTTTTTCCAGAGACATTGTGGTGTCCACCTGTCACCATAATAGGCCCAATCCATCCCACACCTTACTACAGTAACTATGTATAATGATGTAGTTTGTTTTATATGAAACAGGCGAGGTCAGCAGCTCAAGCAACGTGCCTCCTCCAACAAGTGCAGTCCTTGTCCGTCCCGGCTGGACCCACCATCCTGTCCTCCCCCGCCTCACCGCCATCCGCTCACCCAACACCCAAAAGGCCCTTCCCATCCTCTCATCGTTTTTTGGGCACAAGCCAGCAAAAGGGCAAACCGGAGAGGAAAAAAACATGAGTACGTTTCAGGTGATC